ATTAAAACCTAAACTTTCATTTGGGAAATATCACAACTCTGTCACCTTTAACAAGAAAAAATAGGTAATGTGATCTTTTTGCCAAATAAAAACAAGCCTAGTCTCTTTAAAAATGCCCAATAAAACATGATGCTAACTATCATCTGCTAAGATTTCCACAGTAGGAGGAAAAGGCAGTAAAAATGTCATCCCCTAACTGCAATAAATTAAGGGAAGATATCAAGATCAACCCATAGAGCTTTTAAAAGCATATATGGTTAGGATGCAGGACTAAAGATTCTGATTTAGGAGATAGGAAATGGGGGCTCAAACATACTTTTAAGGGCATGTCCCAGCTACTCAGAAAGCTAAGGCATGAAGATTGCTTGAACCCTGGAGTTCCAGACCCACTAGGTGACACAGACAGACCTCATCTCAAAAAAATAAAATGAAAATTTTTAAAACCATAGTTTATAAAAGCTCCATGGGCAGTTTTCATGTGCATTCCCAGTTGAGAACCACTATTACAAATGGTATTTACATAGTAGAAAGGGTAAAAAGTAGCTCATCCATTCAAAATATAAGGTCAGAGTTTTGCTGACTTAGCTTAAAATGGCAACAGAGTTAAAGTTAGGTTACTATTTAAATTTTGTCCAATGTGGCATCTATATACAGCAAAGAGAATGCTTATACAGAAAGATATAAATTCAATATGATGTAAAAAAGATTATCCTGAGGAAGAAAGTTTAGAAGACGACAATTCAAGGGGCCTACCCAAGTGTAGCATTCTCCATCCATCACTTACTTCTCTTCTGATGGGGTCTACTTCTATCAGTCCATGTTCTGAGCCAATGAGTACTGTACTCTGTTCACTTCGAAGACAGAAGCACTGAGGTCTCCCTGGAGCTTGAATATCCCTGAACTCCAGGGTCCGAAGTAACTTCAGGTTTCTCATGATCAACAGATTCCCAAGAGAAAAGTAAAAATATCCCTTGATGAAGCATTAAACCCTAAAAGGTAAAAGAATAGCTTAATAGCAATAAATGACCACATTTATGTAAATAAAATGATTCAGCAGATAGAGTAGTGGACAACAATAACAACAAAACAAACAACAGAGCACTCACCCACATAAAGATGTGTGGCAGCAATCTGACCCACTATATGTAGTTATGGGCAATAAATTAAGGATTCTGAAACTTATTTTACCTTCTCACAGTTTGAAG